AACACAGGGTAAATAAGAACTGAAAAGAAACAGGAGGATAAGAGATGAATTTCGGGCTAGGCGGTCTCACGTAGTCACCCGACCCAGACGCCCCCGGCCGCCAACACAACGCACCAAGCAGCAGCAGCGCGGCCAGCGCCGCAAGCCCCGCGCCCCGACACCGCCGCATGCCACCGCCCCGACGGCCTAACATTGTTCTCCTCTCCCTCTCCCTCCCCCTCTCCCTGTCCCTCTCCCTCTCCCTCTCCTCTCCTCCCTAACGCCGCCAGCTCCGCCCCGGCCCAAATCAGCCCCCGCCTCTCCCCGCAGCAGCACCTTCAGCAGCGCCACCAGCACGTTGGGCACGGCCAGCGACAAGAGGCAGCTGTGTCCCATCGCACACAGCAGCCGCCCCGCGTGGGGAGCAGATCCAGCCCGCACCATCTGCAGCGGGCAGCTGCCGGCCCCGCTCGGCTGCGCTCAGGCTCTGCGGGAGCCTGGCAAGCTGCTGCTCTGTGCTCTTCAGGGCCACAGCAGCGCTCGGGGCCCTGGCAGAGGCAGCAAATTCCCTCGCGATGAGGGACACACACTTACACAGCCAGGGCCGTGCTTAGCGCCGTGGAGCCACAGACAAACCCGTGCTTCCCGTGTGTCCGTGCAAACGGGGCTGCTCCGAGAGCTCACAAGGCAGGAACACACAACCAGCGCTGGGCTCTGCTGGGGACATGTGGGGCAAAAGCAGCAGGGCTATAATGTGGAAGGACAAGGTCTCAGGCAGGCACAGGGGAGACTTTTCTTTACTCAGACGCTGCACAATGCAGGAATGAGTAAAATAGTCCAAATGAGTTTGTCATGGAAAGTACTAGAATGAATTCTGTCCAAACCTCCAGTTCATAGTACACAGATGTGAATGCAACTTCTGGTGAACACCAGGATGAGATCAGGGTCCCTTCCCCAAGCTCAGCCTTGCCCTGACACATCCCCTCCCTGCCCTGCCTTGTTGCACAGCCGAGGCAGCTCCCTGCACCAGGGTGTCTTGCAGAGCACAGAGGTACCAGGCAGTGTCAGAGAGCTCCACTTCCTCCAGCTGCAGGACACTGGATTTGCCCGTGGTGTTCAGGTGCGTGGTGATCTGGCCGCTGTGCTTGGGGCCACTCCCTGCTTGATAGGAGAGCAGCTGTGGGGCTTGGCCTTTCCGCAGCTGGTACCAGTGCGAGGCATTAAAAGTATTGGTCTGGTATTTGCAGGTGGTGTGAAAGGAGTGTCCCTGCTTCACCGTGACTGGTCCATTATCCTGGGTGACCGTGTCCTGCCCCGTGGCGCCTGGAAGAAAGTGATGGTGAGC